TTATATATATATATATATATGAATTACTGCTTAAAATATACTAACTGATTTGTTCAACTTGCAGCCATTTTTGTCAAAGGACAAAAAAAAAGAAGAAAAAAACGCAAGAAATAAAGGGTGGTAATTTTTGTTATCGTAGAAAATGGATTTGATTAGTTTATAAGGGGAAAAAATTAAGACGAATTTCTTAAAGAAAATCCTATCGTTATTTTCAACCAAACAACACATACCAGAAAAATCGAATTCGAAAGTAATTATTTGCTTTACTTTCTACTTATTATTAAATTCAGAAGACCCCAAACAAAAACTCTGCTATGTGTTGTTGCGGCATTTTTTTGAGGAGATGTTCAGAAAAATTACGTAAGAAAGTTTCGCTTGCTACCCGTGTTTAATGAATAAGCTATTGTTATTCATTCATTTTTTTATTCGCTCATTATAAATCCCATTACTCTACTTTGAAAATGTCTTCCGGAAATAATAACTTTAGAATAAGTTTTAGAAAAGTTTTAGTGGCGTCCTCTATGAACTTAGAATTATATCATTTCGAATGCAAATTAAAAAGCTTTTTGGATATATATGGTGACTTTATGAAGTTTTATAAAGTTTTTTGAAGTTTTCTGAACTATTACTTTTATTTAGGTTAAAGGTAGCGAAAAAATGAGATGATTATTAGTGTATAAATAACTTTATAAAATTTGCACTTTTGATCGTTAAAATATATTGTTTTAGGATAAATTTAATTAAGATTTTGGAAAAATGATCTTATCTATTGATTCTTCACTAATTTTTGTAATATAATAGTGAACATTTCAGCATGTTAATTGATATGCTGTTATTAATTGATGCACTGTCATTAATTGATATAAACTAATATTCAATTTATACTTCATACTACATAAGAGCAAAAGATTAAAATTAGAAAATTATTATCGTTTTCTGTTAACTCTAACGTTCTTTCTCATCCTATAAATAATTTATTTTTGAATGAAAGAAAGCTAACGCTATTGCTATAAATTTTCAAGATTGTTCTGATTTGAAAGTATGTACATTTCCTAAACTCATTAGTACGTATAGAACATATAAATACAGCATTCGAAATTTTCATTGCTTTATAAAATTAGTGGAATAAAAAAAAATATATATTTTTCATTATATTAAATATCCTCGTAAAGTTTATTTAAATTAGGAAATTTGAAATACAAGAATTCAATTTGAAGCTTGAATAAAATTGTAAAGAAATAAAATGTGTATTTTCAAAAATTACAGTTTGTATAATTTTTCTTATTATTATTTTTAGTCTAAATTATTAATATGAATATTTTAAAACACTTAAATGTTGTATGTTATTTATTAAAATTTGTATGATATCTCTAGCCACAGTATTTTATTTTTTTAATACGTATTTGAATACTCGTATAATATTTTGCATACAAAAAAAGAGAAGAAAAAAAAGAAGAAGAAAAACGTGTCTCCTTCATTAAATTTTGACATAAGTTCATAGATGACGCCACCAAAAATAAATCTAAAAGATTTTTCTTCGCAAAGTCATTTATTTCAAATCATATTTATAGTCATTCAATTTTTAAGAAACATGTAAAAAGTGTTTTTCAAAATGAGTACCTATTGTTACTTTCAGTTTCGAAAACCTATTGAATAATGTAAGAGCATTTTTTTAAATTAAATTTTTTTAAACTTGTTCTGGAGAACAAAGATATAACTTAAAAATAATAATAATTATTATAATGAATACCAAAACGAGTTTTTTTATATATAAAAAATTTTTAAACATAGAAATTTAACTTGAAGTATGAATAATAAATTTTAGTAATGCAAATTTTATAGCAGTTTCCAAAAATATTGTTCGAGTAAAAAAAATAGTTTTGAATTTTAAAATTAAAGTGTTTCCCCATTTAATGAGCAATTAATTTCCCCATATTTATGAGCAATTAATTTTTGCTTAAATTCAAAATATGTCATTTTCGAACAATAAAGTATGAAATAGTTAATGGAATTTCATTTTATCTCTCTGAGCAAGTCCCATGTGGTCTAGTGGTTAGGATTCGTGGCTTTCACCCACGCGGCCCGGGTTCGATTCCCGGCATGGGAAATTTTTCTTTTAATGTTTATCATTTGAAAATGCTTGATACATTAATTCTTGACAAAAGTTTTTATTTTTTTAATTATTCTGACTTTACTTTGCTTTCCATGTAAAATAATTTAAAATGCCAAATATTCTTATTTTATAAAAGATAATAAGTATCAATTAATTAGGTATTCACTTTTTCAAATAATTCTGGTTTTAATTTATATTTACATTGAACTATTACGTTACACTCAATTACATTACACATTTACATAATTGCACAATTACATTATATTTGCAATGCAATTTCTTCTTTTAAATAAGATTATATGCAGAAAATAAAGTAATTAATTCCTATTTTCCATTGGTAGAGTGAAAAAAAAAATACAATTCTTCGAAATAGTTAAAGAAACGTTTTATAAGTCCCCGACTAAACAGGCAAATGTGTTATAAATAAGCAATGAATTTGATTGGCTAGTTTTTCGTGGAAAAATATATTTCACCGAGGTTCTCATATTTCCCAGACAGCGATCGGAGGTGCGGCAACCGGGTTCAGTATGAAGGCTCACTTAGTTTAAAAATTTATAAATAAATAACAAAAAGGAATTTCACTCCAATGAATGATGAAATGAATATTTGAGAATAATATCTTTCCATAAATATTGTTTGAGCTCTTAAATTACAATATTTATTATTTCTACCGCTTCAATAAAACAAGTAGTAGTAGTAGTACAGTCACTCGAAAAAATAGCTTACCTTATTTACTTCACATTAGAGCCGCCAAATGGGCTATTGCAACGGTCAGGGAAGCATCTTTGAAGATAATTTAATGCCACGCCACCATAAATTTAATCCTTTGCAGAAAAGATGCCTCCCCACTTTGGTAACTCAATGACCTGTAAGTCGAGCACTTTACAGTATAATAGTTTAAAGAGGGCCAATACCACGTACTCTTGGTCCCTTCGCAGGCTAATCAAAGATGTCACCTGCCCGCTCGCTCAGTAAGTTTTTGACTTCTGTATTCTTCTAGGAAATGTATATTTACTCTCAGTTCACTGTACGACTACAGAAATCAAAATAAGATGTATAAATAAATCACCTAGCACGAAATCTGAAGTAAGCAAGTTTAACTTTTTAACTGGAAGTGGACGAGGCCAAAGCGTACGAAGATCAGTGAAGGCCTCAGTAGCCGCGAAGACAAAACAGATTGCTAATTATATTTGAAGGAATCGCTGGATGAAGTAGAAGTGAAATGATGTGTAATTTTGTTTTTGTTTTGAAAATTACTTTCACAAATTTTGGTAACTTTCAAGCCCGTAATTAATGAATCTGTGATTTGTGCCGCTCTGGGAACTTTCCCGTAGATTATCCAATGAGTGCTTTTCACGAAATTTTTTTTTATCCTTTTAAAATATCTCAGATGAAGAAAAGAACTGAAAAAGTAAGTTGAAAATGGAAAGTTTCGAATGTGTTATGAATTTTGTTGATGTATATCTACGAGTTATAGTTTTTGAAAATTTGAAATATAGTGATGTTTTATGAGAAGAGAGTTTTTTGGGGATTTTTTAAATTTTGTTTTGATATGGCTCAATTTAAGGTAACAATTGACTGTTATTAATGCCCAAATATGTTTAAATATGGTTGTTGTTGTTGTTAATTTACGTCGCACTAGAGCTGCACAATGGGCTATTGGCGACGGTCTTAGAAACATCCCGGAGGATGATCTGAAGACACGCCATCACAATTTTGATCCTCTGTGGAGGGGATGGCACCCCCGCTTCGGTAGCCCGACGACCTGCATGCGAAGTCGAGCACTTTACGGTAGCACAGTTTAACGAGGACCAATACCGCACACCTTCGGTCCCTACGCAGACTGATCAAAGTGGTAACCCACCCGCTCACTGACTGCAGCCAGTGATGCTTGACTTCGGTGATCTGCTGGGAACAGTGTCTTAACGATCAGTCCACTGCGGGACTCGTAAATATGGTAAATTATATTAAAGGAAAAGATTTCGACATACCTGTGCCAAAAAAAATCGTAAAATTTAAGTGACAACCGAGGAATGAATGTATGTATATATTTACATATATATATGTGTGAAATTTCTTACAAGTTTAAAAACTCTTTGTCCTCTTGCCATTGTAGTTGGGGGGAGATTTGAATCGTGATCTGTGGCAGAATAATCGCCAAGTCTTGGCAACTTCCTGGCAGCGGCCTACAAGAAACTAAAAAAAGAAATTTAAAAAAATTTTCATTGAAAGGGACCAACTCGCAAAATATATAAGGGATATTATAGTGATCTGTCGCTCTAACTACAACCGCCAAGGTGCCAAATAGATTTTAAACTTGCAATTGGTCCTTTATGTGATGTTTTTTTTAGTTTCTCGCGGACCACTGCCCGGAAGTTTCCAAGACTTGGCGATTATTCTGCCACAGATCACGATACGGAAATCTCCCCGTATAACTGGTAGCCACCTCCAAGCAAAAATCTACATGTTTTTTTATTTAAAATTTGCAAGTTTAAAATCTATACACGGCAATACTAAAATATCCCCGTAGTTCATGCAAACATATGCCGATACGGGAATATCTCTGATACGAGTTGATGCGGATTGGCGCTAGGAAGATTTTCATATTGGTATCTACGCCAAAGGGCCATTCAAATATTATGTATTTTAGACCTTTTTCCTTGTCAGTAAGAATAAGCAAATCACAAACCTTGTCATAAAAAATAAGCGACAAACAAAAAAATCTTAAATAAGAAAGTTGCTACATCCCGTCAGGTTTTTGTTTTGACTTTTACTGTAGTAATTAGTTTTAAGATTGAATTTGAAAGGCCAATGTAACTTTGTATTGAACAAAGTAATTACCTATAGAACATAATATTCAGTGCCGTAACTTCCTAGGGCACAAATTTTTGGACGGGGCCCTTTTTAAAACTTTCTGTTCTCCTTCTCTAATTGTCACTTAAGCTATTTATGTATCATGTTATCGAATATAATTATGGAAATAAGTTACTTGTTCACATATAAATGGGAATACTGAATATTCTAAGTTTTACACATGGTAAAATACGAAATTTAAGCGAAATCGGTTGAATAGTTCCTGAGAAATCAAATTTTAAAAAGTCATAGATAAAGTCATAAATAAAATAATAAATGCTTACTATAAACTATTTTTTGCTTAAAATTATCTTTGGATAAATGAATTTTATAATTGTTTAAAAAAGCTTTCATTTTACTTAAAAAGTTCTCGGGATATGGTGAAATACGCAAAAAGTAAAATTAACATTAAAGGGTCCAAACTTTGAAGTGTTCTCCTGACCAAACTATTTATAGTTTCAGTATTGAAATTTTCAAAAATGTATACTTTAAACTCAGAAAAATAATAAGTGAAAAAAGTTTCAAAATGTTATTTAGCACAAATAATTACTTTGAATATTCTATAAGAATTTGATTTAAAATTTTTTTATATAAATTGCACTCAACTTTACCCCCTCTACCAAATGTTACGAAAACAAATTTTTCCGTTTTGAAAAATTTTCTTTTTTTTTTCTAATTAAAAGCAGCTTTTATTACTGATAATAATAGAATTTTTTGGAATTTCTTAATGAAATTTTTGTATTCAAAATATTTTTCATTATTTTAATTGTTTAAAATATAGGTTGAGGTTCATTTTCTGTATTGGAATAAAATTACGTTTGTTTATATAAATTATTCTTGTTGTATAAGGGATATTTTATGTGTTTTTTTTAATTTTTTAAAATAAGAGAGAATAGATATGTAATGGATTTTNACTATTTAATAAATAAAAATATTTTCACAGTAAAATTTATGAGCACTAAATGAAAAAACCCAATTTTCCCCGGGTTTTTTCAAATAAAACCCAATTTTCCCCGGGTTATTTCAATAAAACCCAGGCGGGTTGGGTTTTTTCAAAAATCCCCGGGTTTTTTCAAACCCTGATGAAATAAGAATAAAATAGTAGATTTGAAAGAAGATTTATTGAATTCTTCACCCAATTGTGTTATATCCCTGCTTTGTGAATTAACAGTTTTTATCATTTTCTTTCTTAAGTATATTTGGTATACAACATATACCATATACCTACTATTTGGTATATGCAACTTATATCTAACATATACAACATAAACCTACCATTTGGCATAAAACATATACCACCACCAAAGCAAGGGACTTGATATTAGTTTCATTCCTATAAAATAAAGATAATGCTGATCTTAAAGAATCGATATGAAAAAAATCTCTTCTAAAAGAATAAAGATTAATCGTAACAACGAAATAAAAGAATTTTTTTGCAGAACTTTATTTTTTATTGACTGGAAAACAGTAATATATTTAAACTAAAATACTTTAAACGATGACATATTTTCAGTTATTCTCAACAAAACAATGTTTATAGCTATTTTTATTTAATTAAATTAAATGTGTTTTTTTTGTGAATGAAATTAAAGGATGCATTTCATTTGTGAAAGAAAACAAAGTTGTTTAAAAGCTTAAAAATTCCAGTTCCAATTTTAAAATTTAAAGGTCTTAATAATTTTAAAAATATAAAATAAGAACAAATTCCTTGCATACACAACAAATTATAAATTCATGAACTAGTGTACTTTATAAATGAATTAGATATACGAACATAAATAAAAAGCAATTTTTATATAACCATTCATACGAAACAATTATAACAGTACATAAATACACAATTTTAAATATATTAAATGATTTATTGCAAACATTTGCTTGCCTCCTTAGAAATAAATTTATTTTATGTTTTCTTATTATTCAAAGAAAAACTTCATTAAGAATGGAAATTATTAGTGGTAAGATTTATGTTTAAAAAACAATAGATTATGTTTAAAAAATAGATAATTAATTTTTAAATTCAAAAATGAAAGTTAAAAAACGAAAATTATATTTGAATTAAAAATAGTTAATTTAAATTATGCAATTAAATGAGATAAAAAAATTGAAATTTAGCAAAAAGTGTTTAGAACAGTGATTCTCAACCGTTTTTTTTTTGTTGCGGCACACTTTTAACGATTTCGAAATTTGACGGCACACAATGAAAAAAATTAGATTAAAAATTGTTTAATTACCTATTTTACACTGTGTTAAATAGTTTGTAATAATAATTTTGAATGTGAAATAAAATAATATGTACTACAAAAGCACATTTATTAAGGGATTAATTATTTCTTTTGACCAATTTTTTATTAGTTAGTAACAGTTATTTATTTTTTGCTAGTTATTAATTGTTAGCTTGTTTTCTATAGTTATTAACTGTTATTTTTTTTAACATTAACTGTTATTTTTTTGTGATTTCTTGTTAACTAGTTTTTTTTGCTAATTATTAATTGTTAGCTTAATTTTTCTTAGTTATCCTTTGTTAATTTGTTTATTAATTGCATAGCTTACTTTAATGATTAGCTCTTACAACATTTTTTAAAATTGTGTGTCATATACAATTTAAACACTTCCACCTTATTTTAAGATTGTCAGAGACAAGACGATCGCTGACGTTCACGCGATTAAAACGTGGAAAAATTATAAAAAGTATATATATATATATGTATATATATATGCACTTTAATTTAAACTTTACTCATAAAAAAAAGCATTATAATTTTTATTGTATCATTTCTAATATTTGGCGGCTCATTTTAAGAATTTGGCCGCACACAAAAGTGCCGCGGCACAGTGGTTGAGAATCACTGGTTTAGAATATTTGTTTCAGAAAAAGTCTCTCAATAAAATGATCAAAGAAATTGTCAACAGGAGTAAAGACCGAAGTACAATTTATAGAATGCCTTAACATTCAACTATGTGCAGTTGTAGCCTTTCCCCCTCTCTGAAAGGAGTTTCTTTCTTTTGAGGAGGGAAATAATTTTTGGAAAAAGTCTATTTACCTTTTTTTACCCTTTTCTTTATTGTTTCCCTTTAAAGTAGATATGCAATTACAAAAACAAAAAAAGAAACGTTCACAATTCTTCACATAATTTCTTTTCTATTTAAAAAAGAGAAATTTAATTTTGAAAAAAAATGTGCTGTGATCCCTTAATATAAATCCTCCTTGACCTCCGGGGTGTCAGGGCGGTGCTCAGCCTGTCCGGGTGTTGTTACGCACCCTGATAATATTTGGAGTTTTATATGGAACTTTGAAATTATGTAGAATCAATTATTGATTTCATTAATAATTTACATATTCTATTAAATGACTTGTAAACTATTAAAACTATAACTAACTAATAATAACTTATTGAAACTATAACTATCTCTGAGTGATTTTTTTATGGCTTAATATTTTAAATTCATTTTGTTTGATTTGTTAGCTTCTATTTATTATAATATCTATTTATATTTTTTCAGATTTGCTTTGGAAGAAAAGCTCCAAGAAAGAAAGTATCTTTATTTAGTTTCTTTGAAAATTTGTTTCTTTAATTGGTAATGAAGATGGCAGTATCCTGTTTAATTCAAGGTGACAATGTCGAATCCAGTAACACTACTGACCAAAATGAAGTTGTTGAAATTATTGCAAAACCATCTGTAAGTCTCTTAAAACTCATTGGAAGCAATATTTTAGCATTTGGCTTAGAATTGTGCTCAAGCGCTGGATTTACATATATCTCTCCTATTTTACTGAAAAATGGTTTTTCAGATAAATCACTTGCATTTATAATGGGAATCGGTCCATTTATTTCTTTAATTTTAGTTCCCATTATTGGACGTTGGAGTGACAGATGCCAAAATAGATTTGGCCGAAGACGACCCTTTATGTTTGTTTTGGGAATCCTTACTGTAATTTCTTTGTTAATAATACCTTATAGCTCAGAAATATTTTCTTGTAACTCAATTATAAGTCCTTGCTATGGACTAGCTACTGGTGTTATTTTGTTCGACTTTTCTAGTCAAGCACTTATGAATCCTTGTAAAGCTCTTATACCTGATATATTTCATTCTAGATCAGATCAAAACTCAGGATTTACTGTATATTCATGTATGCTGTCATTAGGTGGATGTGTTGGATATTTTATTACATCATTAAATTGGACAACTACATTTTTAGGCATCTATTTTGGTGGACAAGAAAAAGCTATATTTACTATATTGTCTGTATTTCTACTTATACTTTTAATCATAAATATAAGTGTTGCCCAAGAAAAACCCTTTGATGGAACATTTTATAAATCCAATGCAATTCTCGATAAAAATTCTAATGGAATCTCTTCAGAAAAAGAAATTTGTATTGTTTTCAATTCTTCTCAGTTGCCAAAAGTCCAAATTAGTTTTAAACCGAACTTGGGAGTGATCAATGAAAGCACAGACGAAGCTTCTACCTTTTTCTTTCCCGAGAAATCATTACTGCTGAGATCAAAATTTCAAGCTTTTTTGTATCGTACTGAGCTTCGGATCAAAAATTTCTTTCAGTATGTGTATGAAGAATATTTTGTCATGCCACCTGTGTTACTTAATTTATTTATAGCTTCATTATTTGGTTGGATGGGAGTTATGTGCCATGATATGTACTATACAGATTTTGTTGGACAAGTAATTATGATTATTGTTTTTTTAAATCAGGTAATTTATGTATACACGCATATATATGTATTATGTGGGCCCGCTCTAAGGATTTCAAATTATTAGCCGGTAAATTAGCCAAATATTAAAAGTATTCTCCAATTTTCGAAAATTTTCACCAAATGCATATCTTAAAAATTTTTTACATATGTTTTTCTTTCTAGTGGAAAAGATCATCTGCCAACACTTTCACTAAAACACAATCTTATTTGCCAAATTTAAGCTTTATGTATTTGCTGCGGTGACGAATGCTTAGCGTGGCCCCTATATGTATATATATATGTATGTATATATATATATGTGTATGTATATATGTGTGTGTGTTTATATATATATATATATATATACAGTACAGAGCCCATTATCCGGAAAACCAAAAAACCGGAATGAAATTCGATAAATTTTCCCGCCATTTTTTGAAATAAATGTTTTTTTCCTCATAAGATTTTAGGATTTTTCTTTCTTTTTTGAAAGGTGTTCACCTTACCATCATTTTGGAAATAATCATTAGTGTATTACTTCATCGTTTTTTCTTCTTTTTAAGATTATTTCCGAAATTTTTTTTTAGTTGGGCTTAACAATAAAAAAACGACTTTTTGAAGGGATTCAGAAAACCGGAAAAATCAGTTATCCGGAATAGCGATGGTCCCGATCGTTCCAGATAATCGGTTCCCTACTGTATATACATATATATATATATAAAACTCTAGAGGTTTTTTAAGAAATTCAAATCAAACATTTCATATTAACACTAACATGAAAAACGTTAAACAATAGGGAAAAATGCATCAAGGTGCATGCCTTAATTATAATTATTCTATAATAAAAAGTGCTTAAAATTATTTTTTCAGTTAAAAGGTGCTCATTTTTGTTAAAAAAAATTTGGCAAATTGCGCATTTGAATAATAATTATTTGATGCTTTTATTCGATTCGTGCCATTTTGTTGTAAATTGCCATTATTTTTCAACTGATATTTGTAATAGTTAGGATATTATTACAGCAAGTGAATTTTAAATTGCTCATTTGAATAATAACTTCAGTTGCGCTCGTTAAATCTGCGCTGATTTTGCTGTGTATTCACGTTGTTTTCTTAACTGCTTTTTCAATGGTTGTACCAGTAGATTTCCAAATGATGTTAACAATACTGATATTTTTAATACAAAACTATTACAACCCATGAATCTCAATTTGTTCATATCTTTCGATTTTGACCAGTTTGGTCTGATTTTGCACCGATTTCATTGTAAATTCATGTGGTTTTCAATCACAATTCCACAGTTATAACTATAAATTTCTTCATTATCTGTGAATTTGTATTTTTTTATCACATGATTACAAAATAAATAATTAGAAATTTGAGGAATACTCAACATTGCATAAGTATGGAAAAATAGAACTTTTTTCCTATGATTGTTGAACATTAGGGTGTGAATAGAAAAAAATATCGTTCAAGCTCAATTCTCTGACCGAGTTTTTATAGAAATACTATTAAAATACAAAAATAATGTCGGACCATAATTAAGCAACTAAAAATATAGTCACCAACCTAAATTTATAGGTTGCCAATGTCAACGTATTTCACGAGCCCTGTATATATATGTGTATCTATGTATTTATATGTAAGTTTATATACGCACACTGTTTTTTAGTTTATTATATTTGTGACTGTCACCTTTTACTTCTTTCTGAATTCCATTCTTTTTCCACCTTAATTTAATGTTTCTCTGTAAAATAAAGTAGTAGATAATTTTTTTTAAAGGTTTATGATGTGGACTTTTTAGATTGAATTATAAAATTAAAAAGAAATCAACTTGCATTTTTTTTAGTAATTATTAAAAACACAATGTGTAAATAAAAGTAATAAGTTAACTTATTTAGAATATTTCTCTACCTACTTAATTTGTTTGAAGTTTTCGATCATTATTATTTGCTTAGCCTCATACTTTTTTAATTTTGATATTTACTTATATGACATTTTTTGATGTTTATGAAGTTCAGTGATAAACCAATGAACAGTTATTAATTTTTTTTTGTTGAACTCTTTGAATTCTTGTATCACTTAACTTGAAAATTCGCAGAAGCAATTTTTAACCTTGAGTTATTAATTATGAAAATGCTTACAGAAAATGCAGGACATAATATTATGAAGTTTAAATTGTTTCATCTTAGTTACATAGACATTTTTTGACCTTTTGATTTTGTAGCCTTTTAAAAAAATTCTGCTAAAATATATTCAATTTTTTATTCTGAAAAACAATATAAATAAAGCCATTTTTTTAATCCTCACTCATTTCCATTTATTCAACTGTTCTATTATATTATTTTGTAAACTTTTTCTTGAGGAGTTTCATTTTAGCTATACATATTTAAAATTCAATAGTTGAATAGCAATTTATAACAAGTAGTTAAAAATATTGTAGAAATTTTAACTGACATAAGAAAAGAAATAAGAAAACAATAAGTTAAACAATTATTCAATTTATTTTAGCCTTTTTTATTTCGGCATAATTGCATGCAAGATAACTTACTTAGGATTTCTGGATTTTGAATAGCCAGTAAATGGTACTCTATTCTCTTTTCTCTGTACAGAGGTCAAAATATAGACTGTAAGCTACTCTTTGCAAAGAAAGTCAGTTTTCATAATTTATATTATTTTTACTAGTGTGTATATTTTAATTAAGCTTCTAAAATTTGTATTTCTCATTTTTCTTGATTTGTTTCCTACTTGTATATTTGGGATTATGCCCAGTGCCTTCTGCCATTTGGCCATATATAAAATGAAATAATAATAATATTCAAACAATAGGGAAAACAAGTTCATTACTCTTTTTTTCAAAACATGTTAACCATTTCGGAAGGTTATATCACACCTTCTAGATGACCAATATTTTACAATCTTAAAATAGAAAATTAATTTCTCCTCCATATATGACAGTAATTAAATTTTTTTATAACTTAATTTTCTTTTTCATTCATTTCTTCAATTATTAAGAATTCAAATCTTTCTCGGTTAAGATGCATCATTTTGAGTTTTGTTCAGTCAATCATTAAAATTGTTATTGGTTTTGGTTATTACTTTTTATCATAAACCTTTAGTGTCATATGTTTTCATTCAGATTAATATTTCAATTTCAATAATTTTGTTTACATTATTATTGCCCTTGAATGTTAATTTCATATGAAATATTTGAATACTAACTATATTTATTGGTTTATGTGTAGGTTATTTATAAAGGCAGACCACATGCAGAGAAAGAAAGTTTTGCCATTACACTTTATGATGAAGGCATCAGAATGGGATCTTGGGGTCTATTGCTACATTGTTTATCTTGTAAGTTATATTAGAATTGGAATTTACTAAAGAATTTTTTAAATGGACCAATGTTTTTAGTTTATATACTGCCATTGAACCAGTTGTGTGTTCTATTTTTCATTTTTTTATTTTATAATCAATCAAACCTTTTAAAACTTATCAAGTGCTACTAACATTGGATTTTAATAAATACTCATAATAATTAATTTTATTTTAAATATAAAGCATTACTTTAAATTTAAAAGGAATCTTTTAAACAAATTTAAGTTCTTAAACATTTTTGGAAATTAATTCATATCTAGAGCTTTTTCTAAGATAAATAATAAATTTTTTAAATAATTATTTTTTGGTTTTCTATCACGAAACTTTATATATGCATTAATTAGATGGAAAAAATTGACAATTATAATTCAGAGAAACACTTTTGTAATTCTTAATACTTATCATGAATTTTGAATTCATAATACTTCGTAAATTTTTAATACTTATCATGAATGAGAATTATGTGTATACATGCATTGTATTCTAATGTTGATGTCTGTAAAAAATGCTGTCATAGTAAAAACGCTGATAAAAGGAAAAGTTAATAAAAAGATCAAGAAAGAAACAAAAAAAAGTTGTTCTTAGTTCTGAAATATAACTTTAGCATTGAAAATCAGTTTTCTATGTTACTAGCTATCCATCTTACCGTACAAGAAAAAAGTGACAATAAAAGAAAGATGTAAATTAGAAACTTTCTGTTAACATGCTTTGCTTTAGTTAAAACAGAAAAACAAGCAAATATGAAACAAAAAAAAAGTTCTCCATTTTTTAAATATGAAGTGTTCAAAAAATGATGAAATTGGCTTGCTTAAATATAATTAAAAAAGGAAAAAATTAGCATTACAAAATTCATGGTTCAGTACAAACTAATCTACTTTCAATTCTTTAAATTTCGCTTTTCCAAATGTCTTTCAGAGTATAAATTAATAAGTTTCAGAGCTTAACAAATATGTGTAAAAACTATTTCCAATAATGTATAACAAAAGAAAAGAGAAAAAAAAAACGATCTTAGATTATTCTTTATTAAATCTATTAAAAATTCTCCCCCAAAAAAATTTGTCCTAAAATAATTTTCTAAATAATACTTTGCCGAATATTCGACTAACCAAATATTTGGCAAAAAAGCCGAATACCTAATAGTGGCCATACATTCGTTACATCGCTATTCCGAAGTGATTATGTGAGAAGCAGGTATGACTTAATAAAAAGTAAACTAAATTGTTTGCAACCTACTTAGATAATATCCAGAAGTCTCAATCCAAATTCACAAAACATGCCATTGGAAAAAGTTTTTTTTCTTCTTTTTATTATCAAAAATTATAAATGAAATGCTATAAGTGTTTCATTTATTATGAATAATATGAATTCCAATTTTTGGAATAATATAAATTCCAAAGCACCTAAACATCCAATTAATATAATCTACCTTATTTTAAATTGATCTGAAATAATTATATGTGTTGTTAAATGGTTGATCTTGTATTTAAATTGTATCCAATCTTTGTGGCACTGAATTATTAAATTATTTTCAGCTGTTCTTTATGCTGCTTTGTTTCAAAAGTGTTTGATAAGTAGATATGGAACCTATAGAGTATATATGCAAGGAATACTGATTTTTTCGATGAGTATGTTAGGAACAGCAATGACTAAAAGTTTGTTGTTTGCAAATATATTTTCTGCGGCATCAGGAATTGGATATGCTGTTCTTACAACTGTGCCATATTCATTAATTACTGAATACTATGATAAGAAAGAAGTAAGTATTTTAATATTCAGAATAAGTTTTAAATGAGTTTGACTGAATAGTATCAAAGTGGCTTAATTTTAAGAATTGTTAAGGTTGACCACCCACAACTTATACATTTGTCACTTGCCTTGACACTCAACATTTTAAATTATATTCTTGATCACAAAGTGCAGTTTCTGTTTCCTTACGTTCTAAATAATGCATACCAGAGAATCTTCAAAGTTCTTATCTCTCATGGGATCTCCTTGAGTCATGTGGACACTGGAATCAATGATGATAGAAACCATGCCTCATTAGTTGACAAAAGGACATATGGCTGATGAAAAAGTTGATGGCATTCAACCGAAAAGAGTTAAATAAAAAAAATTGTTCATATTGTTTTCTTTTTTTCATAAAATAATGAAAAGCTCTTAATATTTGAGAAAGTTAGTGAATAGTTAAACTTACTCTTATCCAAATTAATTAAAAAAATATATATGTAGAAGTTTATTTTATGAAAGTGTTGTCAATTTTAGTATTTACTACTTAAATATAATAAAAAAAATTTTTTTTCAAGCAAGCCTTCATTCAAATTTTGATGAGAAAAAGCTCCATGTAACATATTTACTGATATCTGAATAAATTAATTCATATCAGAGAATTTGAAATGATAATTTATGTACTAGAAAATGTTTTTGATAAAATTTTGTTAGAAATGAAAATTTGAAATTGAATTTTAATTTTTTTTTTCTATAGAATATTAAAATCCATAAATAATGAATAAATAATTAAAGAAAATCTGTTTTATTACTTTATTGTGATATAATTTGAGTAGCCATAACTCTTAATTTAATGTATGACTAATTTATTCAGCCTAGTTTTATGCACATAATAATGCAGAGACTCACAACTATATGATGTTGTGTTGAACTTAATTTTATTTTTTTCAATGGTGGTGAAGTAAAGCAGAATTTTTTTAAACAGATTTTTAAAAAAATGTTTTTTTTTCGAACTTATGCATTTTTCTTATATCTGTTTAAATTAGTAGTGGGGAAATTCGTACAATGAGGGCAGTCAATAGCCATTTATTGTAGTTTTGCCCAATAAGTGAAACCTAATTAGTATCTTCAGAATCTTTATATCAAATTTGATGATCACCTTCCATTATTTAAAGCAATGCTTAAAGCTCTTTTATCAAAATATAACTCTTCTATATGGCATAGCCGCTGTTTGCTATTAAAGTATGTATTATGCCAATGCTTTATTGAACCACATAGTTTTTCATTGTTTGTTAAAACTGAGTAATTATAATTTTATTGCTTTCTTAATTTACTTTGTCAGTTTAGATTTAACTATTTTTATAAGCTCTGATTTTATTCATTCTATTTTTAGATTTATTACCAGAGCAGTAACATAAGAGGAGTAGGCAAAGATATGGCTGTGTTGGATGTAGCATACTTTTTATCTCAAATCATCCCTTCTTTGATTTTAGGGTCCCTTGTTGATTATACGAAATCTTCAACTTCATACATGGGGCTAGCTGCTGTTTGTGGGGCTGCTGCTAGCTATTTTGCATATTTTGTTACTTTTCCTTCTTAATATAGATTTATGAATTATAAAAAATAAGTTTTTATAAAAATTTAAATTTGTTAATCCTGAATATAAAATACTGTAAATATGTTGCATTTAATGTATAACTTTTCTTTTATATTTAATTATTGTTACAATACTGTGCTTTTGAAGACAGCTCAAATAGTGCCTTATTTAAACTTTGGCATTGTGACCTTCTCTGTCTTACTGCAGAGAATTTTGTTTTCTTCTCAGTAGTATATAAAAAACTACTTCTTCTAAGCAAGTGATAACCCATTAATGTCAAGTATCCCATTTTAAGGACAGTTGAATTATTAAAACATAAATTGAACTCCTACGATTTTTAAGGTATTCAGTTCGCATAATGATACATGGTAGTGCCAATCAAGCATTTTGCAGTAATCCATTTCATTTTCTTTTTTTTTGTTCACTGGATTCAGTCTCAAAAGAGTTTTCATTCTAATTAAACTAAACAGAAATTTTAGGCTTGATTTTTTCCTAAATAATTTCAATTCATTTAATATTAGTATACAAAATATGATAGAAAATTGCATTTGGCCATTAATGGGTTTATTTAATTTGGTGATGGCAAGACTTATAAAGTTAGCAGATTAAACTTTTCCAAATTAACTTAAAAGTTTTTGGTTCGAATAGTAGACTCAATGAAATGTGTTAAAAAAAATAATAACTTTTTTTAATTAAATTCAAGTTTTTGAAATGCCTTTTAAGGAAATTGGGAATTAGATTTTAAGTTTTAAAGTTAAAAAAAGAAAAAAATTAGAAATGAGAATTAAAGATTTCAAAGCACATTTTCTTGTGATATCATATTGTGAGCCTTATACTACAATTTATTTGATGTAATTTTATTTTTTTCATTCAGGTTTATATTATTTTAAATTTACCAGCTAATAAATTAATCAAATTGGTGAATAAAAAGAGTGAAATTCATAGTTTATTTACAAGTCTTAATTCTAAAATGCTTTTTTTTTTACAGAAACTGATGATTGAGTAATCATTGTAATAACTTTATGTCTTAGTTAACCAACATGTGACAAAATTTAACTAATTTGATTTTCTTCTCTCTCTCTTTTGTGTAATTAGATAATGAAAGTATTAATATTTATAACTGTAGCAGAGCAAGTTCAAGGTTTGCCATCACTAAATTTTGTTTCAGATAATCATTTTTTGCCGTAAGTGCTCTTGTTTCTAATAATTAACTTGATGAATTGTTTTTACAAAGTTTTGAATGAAAGTTGTTTTTCATATTTTTATACACACTCATATAGACTATATTAGCAATTGTGTAAAATTTTTTTCATAAGATTTTCATCTTTAACTGAACTTTTACTTCCTGATAGCTTTACTTTTGTGTTTTTTTTTGAAGAGTTTGTTCTTTTTAGAACACTTTTTATTTTTTTAGTGTTATTTATTGCAGCAAATGATTTGATATTAGTAGTATTTATTTAAATATATATTATGTGTATGAATTCTAAAAACAGCTTAAGATAACATTAAATAATTTATATTTTAGCATAATATTTAAGAAATTGGTGTGTTTGTTATTGTACTACATTTTTTATTCTAGAATATAAAACTAAGCTTTTTTCATATTCTGAGCTATGTTTTTTTTGTATTTATATTTATTTTAGTTATTGCTTAGACATTTGTATTATTTAAAAAATGGTTAATTTTCCAACGAGAGCATATTTTTCACTATTATGTTTTAAAACCCAACTGCACTATTCTAAATATATAATTAATAATCATTTCATACAGTTTTTACTTAATCTAATAAATATCCTAGATTTATGAATCAAAATTAAGTACATTCATATCTATAAATGATGGATCATGATAACATATAAAGTAATCTGTTTATATTCAGCTTCATTTTTACATTTAACTAAATATAAATTTGCATACAAATTTTTTAGTCGTAAAATTAAAATATTGTCAACAATTATCCTGTTAAACATAAATAAATGTAAGTTACTTAGTTGTTTTATTGATTGCTCCCACCGAACATTAAACCTACATTGGTTTTGTATGTTGTTATTCAGATTTAGACTTAACTGAACATGACCAAACACAATTTTTTATGTGTGTACTGGTATATTCTTGTCATAATTTTAGCATAAAGACCTCCTGCTCTTGCTTCAATCCAGTAGTAGGAAAACCTGTCTTCTATTTAAGACTTGTATTGCCTAACAATGTTGCCAATTATATATTTTAAGCATTTAGTATGTATTTGCTGCCAAGATTTAATTTTAGTTTTCTTCATTTTTCTTATAATCTTAAATGTCTGACTTAAATATTTGATTTTTGTTGCAAGTCTTATTTTATAAACTATTGTATACCTGTGTTAAAATTATTAGTTTTTTTTTCTACTTCTGTTCAATCATGCAGCTTTCACCAGATTATCATTGATCTACAATTTATTTATTAATTGCATATGTAGTATATATATTATTTATTTATATTTATCATATATAAAACTTGTTTATAATTAAAATTTGCAACTAAAAATGACAATTATTGTCAATATTAAAATACATATTTAAAAATTCTTAAAAACAATAGCATTCTTTATCTTAAAGCAAATTTCTATCTTAAGTTTAATTTTTCTCCTTTTAAATTCACAAAATGAAGTAAATATTTCAAATGATGATGATGTTTGATAATTAATTTGAAGCTTTCAGAATATCTTTTTTCATTTAATTCATTTATTTTTGTTATTAAAAAAAATCATGTCTATGTAATCACATAACTTCAATAATTTTTATGTTTAGCTACAAGTTTTAGTATAAGCTAAAAATTTCATGAGCCTATAAACCTATATATCCCATATGCTTTCGTCAAATTACTATTTGTTTTTCTCAGTAAGACTTGCCGTGTTTTTTTGAGAATGAAAAGGTATTGATCTTAAAGAATGAAGTTTGGCTCAAAAAATGAATATGAATATGGTGAGCAATTTTTATCCCATATAACTTTTATTGGTATAAAAGTACACATTTTAGATTTTTAGCTTAATTTTATAATATAAATCAGGATAAGGAAACTAAAATTTTCTTTTCTTCTTGTTGTAAGTTTGTATTTTTGCAGTATTCTGTTGGTGTTATTTATTTAGTTTAATTATTTTTTAATTTTATATTGTCTTACTTTGTGCATTTATTATATTGTTTTTCGCCAAAAAGTATTCTTTGTGTCACAAGCCTAATTTAAAAAAAAAAAAAATTTCTGATAATAACAGCTATTTCATAAAGCAGCTATAACTGTACATGTTTAAGTAAACTAGATAGCCATAATAACGAAAGCTTTTTTATGATGTTTGTTTTACAAGATCCTTTTACAGGTGCATATTTATTTAGCCTTTTTATTATATTACTTGGTGGTTAAGTTTCTAAAACTAGGTGTTATTCTGTACTATTTTGCGTTAGTCTTTTTACACCGTCTCTTCTGACTAAGTTCGTTATGCCTACTTTGAAAATGAAACACGTTGATAAATGTTGTCACATTTTATTGATAAATAGTGATATTAATATTTTTTATGTATATTTTAATGACAAAAAAAATTTTAATTTTATGAATTTTATGTATAGTTAAAGTTTGTAAGATATTTTAGTTTGCAAAGTTCAAGTACCTCATTCTGTCAATTTATATCAGCTCATAAGAACTCAACTATTAATATTTTGGATGTTGCTGTGTAGTTTTAAATTCCAGCTTTTTTTTTATTCAAGTTTTTTAAGTCATATAATTTGCTGTTCAGTTGATGAAGCATAGATCATAATTCAATTTCAATTTGCTATAAGTTCTACCAATCATATGTTATAATGCATGTGTAACGTAATAATATTTTTTAATTAATTTAAGTAAGCTTCATTAAATTTTTAATAAGAGGATTTACTGATAGTATTTTTTGAAAGTTGGCAAGTAATTCCCCTCCTTCATTCTTTCTTTTTCCCAAAATGTGCACTTTTCTCTTTGTTCTGTTTATTCCTGATTCTCTGAACTTTCTTATGTATATGCAATATCCAGACAAGACAAAACGTGATCTTTTCATTTTTTCAGCATATAACTTTCAAATTTTAGATTTTTAATTAATAACTAATTTTATTTTAAAATAAAATAAATAGTATTGTGTCATGTTAGTTTTGTGATGCAACAGAAGATTTGTTAAAAATCCTAATTCGCCATTGTTCATCACTGCAGGCAGATAGAGAAAATTAATGAGTGGTTTCAAATGCAATTTTGATATCTTCTGTGCCTAAAGAAAGAGATGATAAAAAAAACTTTAAATTACCTGACAACATCCAGAATATTAGTTTTGAGTTATTATTATCTGATGTCAGCATTTGGGCTGTGAGAAAAAATAATGAGAATAAAGCACAAATGAAAGTACATAAATGGACATAAAATAGTTTCAGTTCTATAAACAAGATTTTTTTTCAGTATTTAAACATCAAATGAAGCTATATCATTCATTTCATGTTTAGACACTGAAGAAGGTTCTTGTTTATAGAACTGAAATAGACCATTTATACACTTTCAATTGTGCTTTATTCTTGTTTGTCTACAAAGCACAAAGTATACCCCATCTTTTGTTGGTTTAGTGCTTGATTTTGTATACTCAGCTTATTTTTGATCCTTTTCTAATGAAATGTTTAATCTTTGACTGAAACATTACATGTGTGCCAAAAAATAGTAGTAAAACTATCATTTAAAAAGTTGAATATATTTCTTACAACAATAAATTCTATAACAATTTTTTTTTAATTACTCAGTCTAATGTTAAAAATCATATAAAAGTCGTTTATTATAATTTTGTAATGATGGGCATACAAGACTTCAATACAAAAATTTAAATTTTGAAACCTATTTTTGCCAAAAATTTAAATTAAATGAAGTTATGAACTATTATGTTCTATAACATCAATTTTAATGTAGAAATTAACTAGACTTACAATTTGTCTTAAAACAAATTCTGATCTGATGGCATTTCTTATTAGGTCTACCAAAAAGTTCTGTCTATTTTTAGAATGAAACAAAATAATAAATTTTTCATTCCTTGACTAAAGTTTATTGAATATTGTAATTACCATGATTATTTATGACTTCTTTGCCAGTATATCCCATTTATATATCCAATTTTTTTAAAAAATTTCTTTTCTCCGGAGGGAAAAAATTATATGAATACTATTCTGATATCTTCATCATTTTTAAATTTCTTTTGTCCTGCAAAAAATTTTGTAAGGAAGGAAAACAAGTGATAATTAGAGGGTGCAAGGCCTGGGATGTAACAGAATTTTTCAGCCTAGATCTGTGAGTTACTGATGAGTTCCCAAAGAAGCATGTGCCCTAGTATTGTCATGAAGCTATATGATTTCCTTCTTATTGAACAACACTGGCCTCCTTTTCTTGGAGTGATGTTTTTAAATTTATCAATTGCTGATAGTACAAATCTAAATTGATCTTTTAGTTTGATTTCAACATTTGGAAATATGTTGATCCTTGAATGTCCCACCATATATACAGCATTCTATTTGGGCTCAACTTCGTTTTAGAGGTGGAGGGGTGAATATTCCGGGTTCACATTATGCTCTTTTTCCTTATGTTTTCATAGGTTATTCACTTTTTATCCCCAGTAATCAACTGGTCGAAGAAGAGTCCAACTTTGTACCATGCAAGTAGAGATGTGCATATTATGACTGAATCAGTCAAATTCTCCCATAACTCATGTGGCAACCATCTTTTCTATTTCCATACCAATTCTAGTTTCCAGATATGGTTCAAAATGGTTTGTTGAGATAAATCAAGTCTTTCTGCAATCTCTGATATTGTTAGAAACGGGTTTTAACATGTCCTTGACACTATCATCATGCATTAAAGTTGATTCGCTAGAGTGGGACTTATCCGAAGGATCAAAATCAGAGTTTTGAAATTTTTCATACCACTTTCTGCATCTTCTATCAGAAATTATATCTTCACCAAATGCTTTCAATTAATTCTCTTTTGTTGTATTCCTTGTTGGAAACAAAATTCAGTTTCATAGGTCAAGGTCAGTTTCAGTTTCAATGAACTTTATCTGTAGCCATGGATAAACAATCGCGTCTTGCCTAAAACTATTAGGAATCAGCCACATGTTTTAGTTCATAGGCTTGGCTGCGATAAAAATGGAGAGCCAAATGTGCATCAATTGAATAATATATACCCCTTGAAAATCAGCTTAACAAACATGGACATAACTTTCCAGTAGACTTAATACTAGTACAAATTAATTGGCATTTTTTTGTGTTACATTTCTAGTCATATCTTTAAATTTGTGTACAATCATGTGCTAATATTTTATACAATTACTCTAATTTTTGTAAATCAGAATGTACCTGTATATTTGTTTTATAAATAATAACTTTTCAATGTGTTGTTTGAAATCTATTCTTAATTATAAAATATGACCAATTTTTTACTTTAATTGCAAACTTTTTGTTTCATTTTTTATTATTTGAGTCTACAATTCTGTTTTTTTTTTGTTGTTGTTTTTATTTTGGACAAATTGTGCAGAAGTTATAATTTTTATTAAAATTATA